CCATTTATTTGTTGGGGGAACTTGGATTGCCTCCATCTCTTTACTATTGTGACTAACACAGTAGTAAATATAGATGTGCATGTATCTGTTTGGGTGGCAGCTCTGGCTTCTTTAGGATATATTCCTAGTAGTGCAATTGGTGGGTGAAATGGTATTTCTAGTTCCAATTTTTTGAGAAAGCATCATACCGCCTTCCATAGTGGTTGTGCCATTTTACACTCCCATCAGCAGTGAATAAGGGTTCCAATCTCTCCACAATCTCACCAGTATTTGTTGTTTGCTGCTCTGTTGAACTTTGGTATTGGGGTGTGTGTGTGTGTGTGTGATGATAGCTATCTTAACATTGTTTTAGACAATCAATGATTTTTATGGCCACTTGGCCGTTCTGTGGAAAGACAAGCTCAATTGTTGTAATCTCTTAAATTCCACAGGCAGCCTTCTGATGCCTAAGATCTTGTCCTCTGTCTCTCTCCTCTGTCCCAGAGACTGCTGGCTATGAAGGGGCCTGGGTATAAGGACTTCACACCATAACCTTCACGTAGTCAGCATCAGAAACCGCTTTGCTGGTAGCCAGGTCTGGACAAGAGCCCTAGAAACAAAAAAGTGCCCTGTAGGCTGGACCCCAGGTTGCCTGTCCCCACCCAGAGGAACACGGAGTTCAACCAGTTGTTGAGTTCTTGGAAAAGCTGCATCAGAAGGTTTAATGAATGACCTGCGGGCTGTTTTCCACTCCTTTTGGAGCATAATAACCTCAGAGGTCAAGCAGTGCTAGGGGTTGGGCAGCTGGACTGGGGCCCTGGCCAATGACAGCTGGAAAAGCAGAAGTGGAAAACAGCCCTCTTGGAACGGGCTTTCTGCTCCCTCGGAAAGCACCTCCTCTACTCAGTGGCCATCTCTGTAAGTGTGGGCAGCTGGGAGGGGTGTGAGCCTGGACCTGAGAGTCAGAGTCTGGGTTCAAGGCCTGCTTTTGCCACCAGCTTGCAGCATGGCCTTCAACAAGTCACTGTCTTCAGGGCTCCATTTGTCCCACAAATACAAAAAGAAAGAGAAGGTGGAAGAGGAAGTGAGTGAGCTGGGCTGAAGGGACTCTCCCTTCCCAGCTCAAGTCTCAAATTGCCCTTTGTCTTGCTTTAGGTCCTTTTTATACTTCCCTCTTCCTCCTCCTAAGGAACTCTGGTAGTCCAATGAGTAAGGGGTTGGAATGCCAACTCAAAGACAGGTGGTTTGAATCCACCAGGTGCTCCAAGGGAAGAAGTTGAACAATCTTCCCTGCAATTTACAGCTCGGAAAATCCACTGGAGTGTCAGCTATGAAATTTACAGGCTCTGCAAAACCATTGGAGGGTCAGCTATGAGTTTGTTCTGACTTGATGACAGTGAATTCCTCTTTCTTTGTTGAAGAGTGGAGTCAGGAAAGCCTGAAGATTTTGGGCTTTGCAATCAGGGGAACCTGGGATAAATTCTCCTCACATCTAAACTGGGCGACCTTAAGCAAGTGACTCCTCTCTGAGTCTCCTCTGGAGTAGTTGGGAAGATTCAAACAACAAGCAATCCGTAGGTGTAGAGTTAGAACCCACTCATGGCTGACCTTTCAGCGAGTTTTCAGAGGCTGCAAATCACTAGGAGGGAGATTGCTCATCTTTCTTCTGAGAAGCAGCTGGTGGATTCCAACTGCTGCTGGGAAGATTAGATTAAATTTAAAGTGTCTGAGTCCAGAAGGCACTGAACAGGGACTCAAACGGCAGATTCAACGACAAATATGAAGCCCCTGTGGTAAAAGGGGAGCTCTGGTGATTTAATGGTAAGGAGATGTGCTGCCAACCCAAAAGAACAGAGTTCTAATCCACCAGTTGCTCCTCAGAAGAAAGATGAACAATCTCCTATCCTTCAATTTATTGCCTCTGAAAACTCCCTAGAGAGTTAGCTATGAGTCAATTCCAGTTTTACTGTACATAACAATGATAAAGTGAGATTGAGGAGCTCAGGATGAGACAGAGGCAAGTCAGCATAGCTGCTTCTCCACAGGTCTCTACTTCTGCAAAGGTCTTGCCCCAGGGCTGAACTTTCTCTGGACTGCAAACTCCTGCCTCCATAAAAATATTAACAGTCCCACAAAGGGCAGGGCTTGCAGCTCTGAACAAAAGCCTCGGGGTTACTCATCTGCGGAGCCCCTGAAGGAATGGGACAGGGTGAACAAAACTTAGATGCTCTCCCCAACTTCCGACCTGCTCCCTTGAGTCTCTCCACCTGCCAACAGGAAATTTCACCTTTAACTAGATCTTTGGTTTACAGTAGGTTGTTGTGAAGCTTATAGATATGTGAATTAAATGATACTTAAAATTTTTGTGTCTGTAAGTAAAACTTTACCGGAACACAGGTATGCTTTTTTGTTTACATGTTGTTGGTAACTGTTCTTGCACTGTGGTAGCAGAGCCCATGTGTCCTGCAGAGTAAAACGTGTTTCCTGTCTGGCTCGGGTGACATAGTCTTTAGGGAGCTGCACTGTTAGCCCAAACACTGCGCTGCACCTTCCCAGCCATTTGAATCTGACAGCTGCTCTGAGGGAAACAGATGAGCAATCCCTTCTCATGTGTTTTACAGCCTCAGAAATCCACTAGAGGCTTAGTTATGAGTCAGTTTCAACTAAACGGCAATGGATTGGGTTCTGATCCTAGTTTAAAGGAAACCACTCATCTGAAAGTAGAAATGTCCCTGAAGAGATGAAGTTGGGCTGCTTATGTCAGAAGTCCCAGCTCCAGCCATGTACCAGGCACTTGTGTACACATTTTCTTTGTGTACCCAGTGCTCGGGAGCATTGCTGGAAGGTATCATGTAGATGGTCTGATTTCCATTCAGCCCTTAATGGGAAATAGCTCATACATGCTGCTTGCTTTATCACCGGATGGGAGAGCTGGCTGATAAGGGGGAGATGGCAGTGCCATCCACGCTAAGGGGAGCAAGAGAAGGGAGCTTTTAAAACACCACGTGCCCACAGACAGTTTCCTTCTCCCATTACCTGTGACTGCAGGCAAATTAGGAACAGGGAGTTACTGAAGGTGGGGACTCAGTCTAGGAGGATGTGGGTGGAGGAATGGAGAGGAGCAGTGCTGAGCTCACTCACCCGACCTTCCCCTGTGAATCACACCCCAGCCCAGCATGCTGGACACATGCTGTCACGAACATTCAGAAGCTTCTCTCTTCCTGGCTTGTTCAGAAACCAAAGTTTCTGCGGGGCCAGAAGTCCCTCTACCATCTTCACTTCACTCTTCCTTCCCCTCTGCACCTTGTTCACTGCCAGCTGGCTTCACTTGCTGGCCCTGCCTCACCCAAGTGCATTCCTGACTGAAGACACTGAGATTGCTGCCCCCTCTGTCAGGAACCCCTACCCCTCAGATGTCTCATGGCGCACCACCTTCTCAGGTCTCAGAGAGGCCTGTCCCGACCAGTCTAAAACTCTTCTCCAACCAACCCCACCCTCAGCCCTCTTACCTTTTCTCCCAACACAAGGGTTTTATGTTCAGTGCACACTCAAGGGACTCAATGACTCTTTAAGTGAATGAATGGATAGATTTAATGAACGAATCAGGGCTTTTGTTTTATGTTTACTGTCTGGCCCAAAGGTCAGCAGTTTGAAGCTAAACACTTCAAAGGAGAAGGCGAGGCAGTCTGCTTCCATGAGCATTTACAGACTCAGAATCCCTGCTGGACAAAGTTCTACTGTATCCCACAGGGTCCTTCTGAGTCAGAGGTGACTTGGTGGCAGTGCGTTGGTTATTGCTGTCTGTGCTTACTTAATTATCCTCATACTCTGTGTATTGAACTCCTTCACTTGCTGTGCCTCAGAGAGCTGGACAATGACTAGGGATTACAGAAGGAGACTTGATGCCTTTGAGCTGTGGTGTTGGAGAAGAGTATTGAATATAATACCATGGACTGTTAGGAGAATGAACAGATTTGTCCTGGAGAGGGTAAAACCGGGATGCTCCTCGGAGGCAAGGTTTCTGAAGCTCCATCTAACATACTTTGGACATGTTGCAAGGAGGGACCAGTCCTTGGAGAGGGACATCATGCTTGGAAGGGTGGAGGGACAGCACAGGAGAGGAAGACCCTCGATGAGATGGATTGATACAGAGACTAGGGTAATGGGGATAGGTGTGTCAGAGACAATAAGATTGGCACAAGATTGAGCAGGGTTTAGGGCTGTTGTATATAGGGTCACTATGAGTCTCAGGTGATTCAATGGCACATAACAACAACTCTGTGTGTGTATGGATGAGGAGAGTTCCTGTTGTATTTGTATTTTATGGATGAGAAAACTGTTGGGAGAGGATGAGTGACTAGCCCCAGGTCACCAGGCTTGTAAGAAACCTGGGGCCCTAGAGGCCTACTCCAGTGCTTTTGGACCAGAACAGGTGCATGGCGAGCGCCTTCCTGGTCAGGACTCCCCACCACCAAAGCAGATGACTAGATCAAAACAAACACCAACAACACATACAAATGTTGGTTAAAAACAATTATTTTTATATTATAAAGACAAATAAGTTTGTGATCACAGTGCCAGGTATGGACAGGTAACAGCTGTTGCTGTCCCCGAAAAGTCCACCTTGCCTATCGGATGTCTTGGTAGGTATATCATGTCCTTGCCCCAGACACACTGTGTCCCAACCAGCTCTTGGGAGGACACCAGCCCAGCTGGCAGGCCTGACGAGGTCAGCCTTTGATACCTGCCTAGCCTGGCACTGAGGGTGACCACAGGGCTCAAGGCTTGCTTTCTTAGTGCTCCGGGGTTAAAGTTGTGTGAAGGGCTGTATTTGCTGAAGGTCTCTGACGCAAGGGTGGCAGGGGAAGATGACGTTTCCATTTGCCACAGCAGGACAGCGAGGGCAAGGGCACCCAGCCAAGGCTGAAACCATGTCTAGGTGGTGGGGACGAGTAGGCTCTTTTCTCCCTGACCCCTTGGAAACCTTCGCCCAGGAGGTGCTGCCAATGGCCAGTTTTCTCTCAGTAAGGGTAAGGGGACACGGCGATGAGTAGGATGTAGACGCTTTGGTGGCGGGGCGCTGCAGCGCGCACCTTGAGCCGGTAGAGGCCTGCACGGGTGAGCGCACGGCGGGTGTAGACGGCGCCGTGACCAGCGTGCAAAGCGCGCAGAGCGAAGGGGCTGCGCGGGTCAGGCTCCAGCACGGTGAGCTCAGTGCGGTTGGCTGGGACGCCCGCCTCTGAGAAGGCCGCGAGGCGAGCCACATCGTGGTGGGCGCGCACGCCCAGCGGCAGCGGCAGCAGGCGGTACTGCAGCGTGGAGGGGCCGCCCGCGCTGCAGTCCTGTGAACAGCGCCGGAAGCAGGTTCTGCGGGCGGGGCGGACAGGAAGACTCCAGGTTGTCATCAGAATGAGGGTCGGGACATAAAGTGGTCCTCAATCCCAGCACATCAGCTCTCCTAGACCCTATTCTTAAATGCTATTGTTAACCCATTTTAGAGATCAACACATTGAGTCCCAAAGAAGCAAGAGTTGTGAGCTCTCCCGAAGGAGCAACTGGCCCTTAGGCTTTCCCAGCTCACGCTCCAGGCCAGCTCAGCTGGCCTAGGGCAGGTACAAAACTTAGCGTCCTTGGATTGGGGTGCTGAGGTGGGCAAGGCTGAGCATGGACTCTGGACAGACAGGAAGGCTGTTCTCAAAGCCACGTGCTCAGCCTTGCAGAGCCACTGCACCACCCCTTGCTGGGTTCCGATTTGTGAAGCCCAGCTGGGGTGAGTCCCCTTCCCAGGGAGCCTCCCCTAGGCGCTGTGGCTCTGTGCACTAAGATCCCCAGTCTCTCTGCATCTTTAAGGGTTTCAGTCACCATGGACTGTGTATGGGTTTTTTTGTGCTTCTGTGGAGGGTATGTGTGTGATATTTATCTTTCTGTGTCTCAGGGTCCCCTGGTTTTGTGTGTTTGTATGTTGCTGTATGTCCGTGGTTGCCTGTGTGTATTCTTCTCCAAGCTGCACATTCTTTCTCAATACCAGCCTCTTCTGGCCCCTGGTGCTTGTAAAGAGCCCCCAGTGGCTGCAGGAGGGCTTACTGCTTGGTGGGCACAGAGACCCTGACAAAGGGGGTAGGACTGACCAGGCTGCCCACTCACTCTGCCAGGACCCTGAGATACCAGCATAGCACTGGTCCCACTGGAGCCAGAGTGGAAGGTCCTGGGCCCCACCCTCCTCCCTGCTGACTCAGACTTACCCTGGGCTGGAGCCCTGCCGGTAGGTGGCCGGACATGGCGTGTCCACACACTGGTAGCTGCCCCGGGTGTTGAAGCACATCTGGCCGGGCCCACACTCGATGCCATCTTCCTCACACTCATTGATGTCTGGGTCAGGGAGGATTGGTCAAGGAGAGGAGAGGAAAGAAAGATGGTTGGAGCAAAGGATACAGGCCGAAGGCAGGAACCAGAACAGAAGGGTGGGGTAAATGGGAGAAAAATAGCTTCAGAGGCCCAGGGCGTAAGAAGAGTTCTACTTCCCTTGACCCTGGCTGGCCTGACCTGACCTGTCACAATTCAGCCTGGAGGTCTCTAGCACCTCCAAATCTTCCCAGGGGCGTAGTAGATAGCCTAGACTCCTCCCGGAGCCCAGATTTGGGAAGAGCCAGGAGAGAGGAGGGCAGCTCTGGGAGGCCACGTTCATCCTTATACCCAGAGTGTCTACTGTCCTCATTTGTCCCCGTGGGAGACGGGGACAGGCCTGGCAGGCACAAGCCTCACTTTCTAGATTGAGAAGTGGTCCTGGAGCCTGATGGGATCAGAGCTGTACTCAAAGGACAGTGCTCCCACCTGGACAGTTGGCACAATAAAACCCATGCAGTCAAGTCAATTCCAACACCCAGCAACAACAGCAGCTTGTGACATGCCCTGTCTCTGTACTGCCCTCTGCCTCTGTAGGTCTTATCCCAGGTCTGGGGTCAGGTCGGGGTGAGGAAGGCTGTATTAGGCCTATTTCACATAGAAGACTAAGGTTAAGAGAGGTGACTTGAATTGCCCAAGGACACACAGCGGAGTTGGTTACAGAGCTGTGTTTCAAAGACTGGCCACTTAAAGTTCTTATTTTGAGCATAGGGCCCAGCCCAGCCCTCACAGGGATGTGGGAGCTTGGGATGGTCTCTTGACCTCTCTAAGCCTCTCTTCCTCCCTAATTTCACAGCAGATGGATGGTAAGTGGCTGAGAGAACTACAAAGCCTGGAATATCAGAGAAGATGACACCCCTTGTCCTGTCCAGTCCCCTCTGGCATCTAGGATGATGGCCCCACCCCAGGCACCCACTCACCCTGGCAGTTTTTTCCTCTGGGGAGGAGGCGGTAGCCGGAGGGGCAGAGGCACTGGTAGCTGCCTTCAGTGTTCCGGCAGGCATGCTGGCACAGGTTCCTCACCTGGCACTCATCGAGGTCTGGCCCAGGCACAGCCATGGAGGAAGGGGGGTGTCAGGGGGTAAGAAACGAAACACACTTAGTCATAGGCACTCACGTGGATGCATGATTGCCTGCCAGACTCCAGGGCAGGCCAGGGAAGTTCCCTTGCTTGGGCAGCCTACATCTTCTCCTCACCCTTCCTCACTCAATGCCAGTTCTGGCTTTGGGAACTAGGGGAGTCCTTGGGCTTGCCAAAACACCAGAATTTGCCACTCCAGATTCTTCTCTTCAGGCAAGAATGCTGGCATATGACAGCCCTCAACAGGCCACCTCCTCCTCTCCCCTGGAGCCCAGAGGACCATCTCTGAACATCCACCCCTCACCCCACCAGTTTCTGTTTGCATTCTCGTGTCTGGAGAATTTTCCTTCACTCCTGACTATCTCCCTCCTGGATCTCTCCACTGAACACCAAGAACAGTGACTCTTAAAATGGATTCTCAGAAGCTATTGCCCAGGAGACTTTCTCTCTAGGGAAAGTGTTTGAAGTCATGTGGCTGGGGAAAGATAGCATTCCTGGAAGCCCCTTGCCCACTGGCACAGCCGAGGCTCTAAGATTCCCTGTAGTGAGGAAGCTGGTTCAACTTTGCCGGCATCCACCTTCCCCAAACTCCGTGGGCATGTATGCTGTTGTTATTGTTATGTGCTGTGGGGATGGAATTGCCTCATAGCTGACCCTCCACTGTGATTTCAGGGCCTGGATATTGCATGTGAGATTACTCATTTTTCTCTTGAGAAGCAGATGAGACAATTACATACCGCCCCCTCTTGGAAGAGCTAGTGGATTCGAACTGCCTGCCTTTGGGTTGGTAGCACAGCTCCCTACCCATTAGGTCACAGAGCTCCCTCCTTGACCACAGAATTCACCTTTTCACCAGACATTTACTAAAATCCTTGAAAAGTGTTTTTCTTGAGAAACACCACTCAGTTGAATGCCTGGCCTGCCTGTGGGCATTGGTTTCTGGAACAGCCACAGTTGCACATTTCCCATTCTAGCAGCCCAAGGTGGCTGGGCCAACCTCACCTGTGCAGACGCCACTCTGCCTGACGAAGCCAGGCGGACACCAGTTGCGGCCCACGCTGCTCAAGGCTATAGGACCCGGCCGGAGGGAGAGCCTTGTATGATAGGATCCACTGGGGATGGGGGTTCGGGGTCTCAGCCAGGGCACAAAGGGTCCTCGAAGGCTGACGGTGGTCACATTCTGTCCACTCCGTTGCAGCGGGATGCAGGTCTTGCCATCAAGGAGGAGGGTCTGGCCTGGCGGGCACAGACAGCGGTAGCTGCCCTGGAGGTTGTGGCACTGGAAGGAGCAGGTCCTGGGCAGCTGCAGGCACTCGTTGATATCTGAAAGGGGCCAGGCAGGTAGGGGTGCTGAGTCGGGGCCTGCTGTTTGTCCCAGGAGGTGCTCTAGTCACATTTCTTGTTCAAGCCTCCCCAGAAGCCACCTTCCTCCCCAGGCCTTCCTCCATGTCAGCTCTTTCTGGAACATACCAGCTTCTTCTCTAAGTCAGCCTCAGTGTCTCAGAGGCCAAACACCTCTCAGCTCTGAGCATCACCCCACCTCCAGCTCCCCTCAACACCCTAGTTACGTCAGTCCTCCCTCTGGACCCTCTCAGAGTTCAGCCCACTTCTCTCCATCCTCATCCTCCACCTGGATGCCCAGGAAAGGTAGCCTCATGGCGTTAGGGTGAGTATTTGGTGCAATGGGGTAAATAATGTTCAGCTCCAGGCTGGGGTTTCATCGTCAGCACCTGCATGGTCATCAACACTGACTGCTCTGAGTGGACAGTTTTGACTGGGCCCTCTCAAAGGGCTGGGTATTCCCATACCTAGGCAGGGCAGGCGTGGGCCTTGGCTTCGGTACCCCCTGGGGCAGTTGCAACGATGCCTGCCTGGGGTGTTCACACAGATCTGATTGTAGTGACAATCATCCAACTGCTCCAGACACTCGTCCACATCTGGGGAGGCAGAGGTGGGGACAAGGGGTAGGATCTGAGTCCCGGGTCTCTCCCCCAGTAGAAGACCACCCCAGCCCACTCCAGCTGCATCCTCAGCTGGGCCTCATCCCCTGCCCTCTTCTCTGGCTTCAATGACACAAGACTGAAAGTCAACACTTGAATCACTCTCCCAATTATACCATGTTTGGAAGTTAAAAGAGCCCTAGGTCCACAAGCAAAGAAGGGGTTGAAGAAGTGGGCTTTGCTAATCCATGGCACGAGCACACATTGTCAAACATATCTAAGAATCCACAACCAGAAAAGGATAAAATAGGTGAATGGGATCTTCTAACAATTGAATCCTTGTGTGCATAAAAACCCTTTACTTCACCGATAGGGTAAAAAGGAAAATACTGGGAAAAATATTTAAGAATGACACATCCAATAAGGGATGCATATCTAAAATCTGCAGAATACGCTGGAACTTCAACAAGAAGCAACCTAATTACAAAATGGACAGAAGACATGGAGAGACTCTTCACCAAAGGAGGATATTGAGGTGGCCAGCAACCACACAAATGCTTCAGATCGCTAGTTAGTAGAGAGATACAAATCAAAACAAGACTGGAAATAGAAATATCATTTAGCTCACTTGGAGAGGAACATCATTCTTGTGAGGGTGGAGGGACAGCACAACAGAGGAAGACCCTCCATGAGATGGATTGACTCAGTGACTGGGGTTAGGGGGTAGGTGTGTCGGAGATAAAAAGATTGGAGCAGGACAGAGCAAGGTTCAGAGATGTTGTACACAGGGTCGCTATGAGTTGCAGGCAACTTGATAGCATATAACAACAACATCCCACTACTAGTGATGGGCTGGTATGTTTGTCTTACAGATATAAGACTTATACAAAAAGAGGTGGGAATGATAGGGTGGTATTAATAAGTTCAGAATTCTCTATATAGGTAGGTATCAGTTATAAAACTATAGTTTTCTCCAGCCTGTGGGACTGATGCTTGACCATGGAGCTCTGAGTGTCCTTTCTGTGATCTGTCTGTTAATCAGAAGAGGAGATGCATCTCCTAGATTAGCTGTTATCTCTTTGAAGCTGTTTTCCTCAATCATATGTAAATTGTAACTTAATCTGCCTGTTTGCCTGGAAAGGGAGTATCTGGGTGTGAATGATTTTCATTCAGATATAGAAATTCCTTGATTTTACTAACAGAAGTTTATTGTTAAGTAAATTGGTTCTCACCCTCCTATAAAAGCCCATGACCACTCCCAGATGGAGAGGCAGTCTTGGAGGTGACAAGCTATCTCTCAGATCTGTGTAATAAAATGCATTTATGGATATTGCAATCTGTTCCCCTTACTGGTGATTGGCTACAGAAAGAACCAACCTCTTGCAGTTCTGTAATACTAGGAATATGATCCAAAGAAAACAAATACCATGCAAACAAGTGTATGCACACCCATGTTTATTGCAGCATTATTCACAATAGCTAAAAGATGGAAGCAATCCAAGTGACCATCAACAAACGAATGGATAAACTGTGGTACGGTCACACAGTGGAATATTTACTGCAGCACTGAGAAGCAGTGAGGGCTTAGTGAAACACTACACAACATGAATGGTTCTAAAGGATATTATGTTGAGTGAAATAACTCAGTTATAAATAGTATAAGACTACTTGTTATAAAAATAGGAGAGTTATGGAGGGGAGTGATGGGGGAGCAGGAAAAGAATGGATGGATAATGAACACTGTATTGGAATAGACAAGAAAGGTCTTCTGAAAGAATGGATAATCAGACATTAATGAGTAATGCAACTAACAATTTGGAATTGGACATGAATTATGGAATGAAGAGGAATGGAAGGGGGGATGTTGTTGTTAGGTGCTGTCAAGTATGACCTGTAGCCACACTGAACAACAGATCTGAACCCTGCCCTATCCTGTGCCATCCTCACACTTCCTGACACATTAGAGCCCATTGCAGCAGTCACTGTGTCAATCCACCTGGTTGAGCATCTTCCTCTCTTTCGCTGACTATGGGAGGCCAATACTAAATACTTGTACTAAATCGAATGTTATTTACAGTACAAGCTGAAATTCATCCTGAGGCACCAAGGCAATCTTTAAGGGTTTGCTGGATTCTTGCACTGTATTTGCAGGCCCCTCCCTCCTGAGTCATGGGAAGGTTTTCAATAGAAAGAGCTTGGCTTCATTTGCATTGAATTATCTTTGTGATTTACTTTCTGATAACTTTCAATAAAGATACTGGGAAGCGGGTGGCCCTCAGGAAGGCTTGTGCCTCCCGTGTTGATTGCTGAACTCGCCGCCAAGGCTCAACCCTCTTGCTGGTTCTGCTGCTCCAGGCTCACCCCGCTGCTGGCGCTGTTGGCGTTGCTGACACGACCGGCTCTGGGCCGGGGCGGCCGGGATCACGGGGACTGGGACGCGGCCCCGCAGCCGCCGCTGCCACCCCACGAAGACGCAGCGCGTGTGGCCCGCTTCGTGGCGCACATCTGCGACTGGGGCGCACTGGGCACCATCTCCACCGTGCCGGCGGTGCGCGGCCGGCCCTTTGCCAATGTCTTCTCGCTCAGCGACGGGCCGCCCGGCGCGGGCAAAGGCGTACCCTACTTCTACCTGAGCCCGATGCAGCTCTCCGTGACTGACTTGCAAGTTAATCCATACGCCACGCTGACAATGTCTTTGGCACAGACGAACTTCTGCAGGAAGCGTGGGTATGATCCCCAGAGCCCACTCTGTGCTCACATAATGCTGTCAGGCACTGTTACCACGGTGGACGACACAGAAATGGAATTTGCAAAGGATTCGTTGTTCACGCGACATCCTGAGATGACGACCTGGCCTTCTGACCATAACTGGTTCGTTGCTAAACTGAATATAACCAATATCTGGGTCCTGGACTACTACGGTGGAGCGAAGATAGTGACGCCTGAAGAATACTTTAATGTCGAACTTCAGTGAAGCTGAACAGGACAGACTCATCAATCCCACTGGTGAAGCTGCCGGGAATGGCCCTTTCGGCCTTAAAGGACTTCATTTCCTGGTGGAGTTTCTTCTTGCACTGGATTGCTTGCTTGCTTGCTTGTTTACAGAATCAGAGCAAGTACTTGCTGCTATTTGCATAGAAAAATGTCTTTCCTTAGACTCAGAGAAGTTTTGCCCTATCAGGTCTAAATATTTTTTCCCCAATACTACTCCCTGAAGAGGAGCGAGTGTGAGGTGTAGATTGCCCATTATCATTGGAAGGCTCTTCTCTTTTATTCCCAGAAGCTCTGTGCTCTGGAAGACCCCAAGCCTGAATTTCATTTCTCCACCTTTTTTCCCTATTATATAATCAAGGCCCTCCACTTAGTGTGCATTCATTCATTCATTCATTCATTCTCTGTCTAATTTCTTCACCCCAGAATGGAATTGCAGAGGAAGAGAAGATAGGGAATTTTATGTATGAGTTCTGGCTTTTTATAGGTAGAGTTAACCCAGATGTGGATCACCTTCAGCCAGAGTTAAAATCCCCCTGTCCTAACCACTCCCTGTGGCTTGTTTTATTCAGCTGTTCTCAACAATGACCGAGGCCCTGGCCTACTCAGAATCTCTCAGCAGTTCCTAATGCTACTGCCTCTTCTAACAGAAATGATGCAACAAAGGAAGAAAACATAGCATTGAAGAATAATAATAATGATAACATTGTTTCTTCAGAAAACACTTGACATAGTTTTGTGAACTATATACGTGATTTCAGAAGTCTATATAGGATTCCTCTTGAAAAATACATGTCAGGAGGGATTAAGCTAATGCATTCTGTAATGACTAAGAGAAAGGTACTTGAATGTGAGTCATTAGTTTGGAAAACTACAAACACAGATGTAACTGAAATCCAGCAAACAACTTCTAAGAAAAAAAAATTATTTCTATTACATTTAGTAAAATAGGGATCTTACACAAAGGATCAATGAATAAAAACATTATTTAAAAAAAAAAGATACTGGGAAGCTGGAATTGGGCCCTTCAGTAGAGAACTACTGGCCCTCTGTTTCTATGCTGTCCGTTCTATCTCATTCTTGTTTGTCTGTCTCATTATTAATAATTATAAAAATACTTTACCCTTGGTCTGCAACAGCTGACCCTCTGCCTTTCCAAGCATGATGTCCCTCTCCAAGGAACAGCCTCTCCTAGCAACATGCATGAAGCATGTGAGACGAAGCTTTATCATCTTTGCCTCCCAGAAGCACTCAGGCTGTACTTTCTCCCAGACTTACTTGTTCTTTTGGCCATCCATTGGATGTTCAGTACTCTTCTCCAACACCACAGCTTAAAAGCATCAAATCTATAATCCCTATTCACTGTCCAGCTCTCTGATGCATAGCAAGTTATCTGAAAGACCATGGCCTGAATCAGATGCACCTTAGTCCTCAAACTGACATTATTGTTGTTGTTGTTGTTGTGTGCTGTCGAGTCACTTGTGACTCATAGCGACCCTATGGACAACAGCCCTAAACTCTGCTCTGTCTGCACTGTCTCCGATACACCCATCCCGATTACCCCAGTCACTGAATCAATCCACCTCATAGAGGGCCTTCTCCTCCTGTGCTGTCCCTCCACCCTACCAAGCATGATGTCCCTCTCCAAGGACCGGTCCCTCCTTACAAGATGTCCAAAGTATGTTAGACGAAGCCTCAAAATCCTTGCCTCCAAAGAGCCACCCTTTCCAGGATGAATCTGTTTGTTTTCTTGGCAGTCCATGGTACTCTCAATACTCTTCTCCAGCACCATAGCTCAAAGGCATCAATTTTCCTTCTATCCTCCTTAGTCATTGTCCAACTCTCTGATGCATAATAAGTGGTAGCAAAGACCATGGCCTGTATCAGATGCACCTTAGTCTCCAGAGAGACACCACTGCTCTTCAGTACTGACATTATTATTCCTCAATAATTTGGAGAGGTCCTTGACTACAGACTTTTCTAGTGCAATACATTTTCTAATCTCCTGACTGCTGGTACTAAGAATGAATGAATGAAAGAAAAACCAACTGTTGGTACTAAGAATGAATGAATGAAAGAAAAACCAATTTTTAAAAAAAATCCCAAACATATAGCCTTTGGGCATGAAGAGTCCCAGATTTAAGCTGAGCTGAATGGACCATTTCTAATCCCTAGGGAAGTAACTTCCCCCGATTCTCAGTTTCCTTATCTAAAAGTTTATGGATGGGCCTCCCTCATGGGGTTCTGATAAAAAGAGAACTGAGTCAGGTAAATCCTGGCTTAGAATCCTGGTAATTGGGAAGAGCTAAAAAAAAAAAGGTGTGAAAGAAAGAGGAAGGGGAGGAAGGCAGCAGACAGAAGAATCTACTCAAGAGTCAAGGCCATCCAAGGGCCAGAGACCAGAGGTGGACTGAGTAGATCTTCTGAGTTCAAGATCACCCATCTTGCTTCCCCACTCCACTAGATGGCCTGTCTCAGGAGCTGGGGGATGCAGGTGGAATCATAAACCCAATGAATGCCTGAGTAGAAAGAACTCTTGAGTTTGTCCAGGCTGGCACCTAGATTTCATCTCAAATGCCACTTGTACTGAATTAACTGATTATTTATGGTTGGTGGGGAAGCTGTGTTGGGAAGAATTCAGAGCCTGTATCTAAGTACAGTCAGGACATGAGGAATGATCCACAGAGGGAAATAAGAGATGTGACAGCTGTGTGTGTGTGTGTGTGTGTGTGTGTGTGTGTGTGTGTGTGTGTGATGTATGTGTTCTTTGCCATCCTTCACTCAGTCATCCTGTCATTGAACCAACGAGAAAACTGAGCTCCAAAGAGTAAGACACTCATGAGAGGTCCTCAGATTCCCCGAAGTCAAGCTGAGCTAACATCAACCCAAACCTCCTGAGCACTAGCTCAAGCTCTTTCTCCACAGCTTCCCCGTGCAACTTTTGCCAAGAGGTTCGGTCTCTGAAAGGCCAGTTCCCAGTGATGCACAGTCCCCCTTTCAGATAAACTCTGACAAGCAGTGGGTTCCCAGGAGTGGAGATGGGCTCCAAGTTGTGCCCCCTCACCTTCACAGCCAGCTCCATCGGCAGCCACTCGGAAGCCAGGCTGGCAGTAAGGGAGGCAATGGTAGGACCCCAGCAGGTTGACACAGTGCTGCTCATCCTGGCAGAGGGGGGTGTCCCATGCACACTCATCCACATCTGGGGGTGTGGGAGGGACGGACAGTTGCCTTAACATGTGTCCCTAGACCCTCCTTGCCATCCTCACTCTGGCCCAAGCTAACCACATCCCCTAGGGCTCACAAGACCCTGGCTTGTCCCCTCCCCTCCTGCTAGCTCTTTCCATTGCAGATCCCAGCCCAGGACCCAAGGGCCCAGGTCTGAGGCTTCTAAGAGGACACTGTAAACAACTTCTCCTGTGGGTTTCTGGCTTGAAGACCACAGAGGCCTGGCTCTGGGGTCGGTGCCAGACCCCCTGGGTGTGACTTGTTAGACAGACTGACAGTCAGCATAATGACAGATCTCTCATGATCAGATTTGCCATCTGGCACCTTTGCTGAGATCAGGTGCAGCAAGCTGGGCACATGGGTGTGAACTCACCAACCAGCACTGATTGGCTGGAAATGAGGTTGAGAAAGCTGGGTATTGAGAAAGCTTTGGAGGCTGAGTCCACATTCAGTGAGTATAAATGCCATGAGTACATGGTGACCATGTGTGTGTGCTCAGGAACCGTGTCTGCTCCACTCCCATCAGCAGCCTCACTGCAGGCAGGGGTGCCCCTGGGGACAGTGCCTGGAGACTGCAGGCTGCCATGCAGTGGGCTCCACTCACCTTTGCAGTCTTTGTTGTCCCAGGCCAGGGTAAAGCCAACAGGGCAGGAGCAGGAGAATCGGCCAGGTGCATTGTGGCAGGAGTGTGAGCAGGGGCTGGGGCCATCAGAGCACTCGTCCCTGTCTGGGTGGGGACAGGTCTGGTGGTCTGTGCTCCCAGGCCCCCATGCCAGGCAGCCAGCCAGGTAGAGCATGGCGTGAGGGGTGAGAGGCCTCCTATGTTCCTCCTGGTGAGGGAGGGTGTGCACTCACCTACACAAAACGAGCCCTGAGGATCCAGCTCAAAGCCCTCTGGGCAGCCGACTTCATTCTCCTCTGTAAAGCAAAGAGGGAAGGCCCTGAAGACTGTGGAGGGCGCTCACTGAGGCTGCCTGTCCTGGTTGAAGCCCAGGCTCCAGCTCCCGGATGCCTGCTCAGTCAGGCCAGTGCCCCCTGGCTGGGTATGAAGAGTGTGGCCAGCACCCTCATGAGGTGGGCCGGGTGCCCGTCAAGGAAGTACATCCATGCCCGGCCCAGGCCTGCTGAGCGGCTGGCTGGGGAACCTGTCCAGGCCTGTCAAGGTGCCCTTGAAGAGCACATGGTGGCGCTTGGTATTGAGTGAGGCTGACACAGGGAAAATCATTAAAGAAAACCACATAGGGAGAAGCCCACATGTGCAAAATTGTGGGAATTCAGAGGACCTGAACCTGTAGGGTACAAATGGAGGGCTTGAATGTCGGCCATCTGCTGAGGACAGCAAGAACAAAGCAAAGGTCAACGAGGAAGCTGTGTGCTGGCGTCAGCAATGACGCCATCATTCCTAAAGCACTCATTGCTGTGAAACATCAGACTAGGGTTTGGAGGAAAGAGCCTGTAGACCTTATACCCTGAAAAGTGGGTGATTTCATACCCATTGTGCAGATGAGAACATAGAGCCTCAGAGAGGCCCAGGGTAACATAATTAGGAAATAGTACACCACCAAGGCCTGTGTGACCTCAATGCTTATGCTCCTACCACTGCCCTTTGTTAAAAAATATTGGAGACCTCAAATATGAGAACTTTGTAATCGTTCACATCCATTGGTTGAATAAATAGGGACTGTTTGTGGGTGGGTCTCCAAAGGTCCCCCAGGTGGAGACTCTGCTGGAAATGGATGAGGAGGCCTTGAGTCTTGGACACCAGTAGGGTTGGGAGGCTAAGAAAGGGTGGTTGGGCCTATCCTGTGGGACATGGGGAGAACCCCCAGAATGTTCTAACCAGGAGTGACCTGAATAAAGAGCTGTCCCTATCGGATTGTGGCTACATGAACAAAACTGGCAACAATGGCAACAGGTTGGACGTGAACATACCAGGCAGTGAGAGATCTCTGTACCCGAGAATGCATAGCCTGTGGTCGGTCAGCAGATGCAGAGGGTGTGTGTGTGTGTGTGTGTGTGTGTGTGTGTGTGTGTGTGTGTACACACCTTGGTGCTCCTGGCAGGCTTTTAACTGGGAGAAGGAAGTGTGGAGACAGACTGGGGCCTCACCAGCTTGCAGGGCCGTAGTCAGCTGAAAGCGCAGGGCCTCAGCCTCCGGGTCAAAGGCTGTGCTCACAGTGGAGGCCCGCAGGTGCTGAACCAGCTGGGGCTGGGGACCGCGGTCCGCATCATACTGGATGCTGTGGTTGCAATGCAGGAAAGTGGGCTGGCCGCCCTGCAGGAAGCGCTGTGTGGAGTCCACAAACAGCTGGCCAGGGCCTGTCTGCACATAGCGCTCCTGGTAGTCCTGGGTAAGGAGGAGGAAGAGCATGCCTGGGTTGCCAGCTCCCCAGAGACCTGCGATCTGTGGCCCCCACTCCAGGGACTGGGGGTGCTAGACGAGGTGAATTGGTTGGGCCTCTTAGCTTTTCGTCTAACTAGCTGGATGGCCTTGGGCAAGTCACCTTCCTTCAGTGTTCTTGTTTATGGAATGAGAAGAACGCCCCATCCCAGTGTCTAGGCTCAGAGCATCCTACCCCTGGGTACCAAGTCCAAGCTATTACCTCTTCCCCAAGACCAAGCCGGGCCATGACCAGATCATCTGGGGTGTCAGGAAGGAAAACGAGATGGGTTTCTGGGGGAATGGTTGGGTATTCTCTCTCTCAGACTTCATCTCTCACATCCCATCTGCACACCCCTAGGTCTGGTACTCTGAGGGAAGCAAAACAGTCTCATCCCACCTGCATTTGAAGGTCTGCGTCAGCCATGCTCTCAGGGATGGCGCCATTGACCATCACGTCCAGGAGAAGGAGGCCCTCGGAATCCAGGCCCTGAGCCACCTGGGTCATTGTGAGCAGCTCACCTGCAATCCCGACCAGCCCAGGATCAGCATGGAAGAGAGACTTGGGGCTTGGACCTCAGGCCCACTCAGCCCACTTCAGCAAGGAGACTGGCTCACCTGTAGCAAACTCCACATGTGACTCCTGGTGAAAGCTGCCGCCTGTCAGGGAGTGGCCGTTCAGGGCCTCCCCAGTCTCTCCAGCCAGGGTCCAGTAGATGGGAGCAATGGCAACAATGAGTATGCGCATCAGCGGTCCTGGGCCAGCAGGTCAGGAAGGCCTGGTTAGGGCTGGTTCCCAAGGTAGTTACTCTCCTGCTCCCTCCTACCCGCCACAGAGCACACGCTCCCGCTATCCCTGCCCACAATCAGCCCTGTGACTACCTGGACCAACTATGCAACCTGAAATCAGCAAAAAAATACGTCAAAGGCAAATATCTACTTCATGATGTTGACGTGAAGAAATACAGAGAAATGTATGTAAATCTTTGATATTGAAATGAATTTAACAAATACTGATTGAGGGACTGCAGATACATTGTCAATACATGTTTGCTAAACTGAATGGAGATCCAACCATGTTTCTTAAATTGTAGACACCCTCTGAATGAGTCCAGTAGAGGAAAGATGCCCTAGACCATTGACTTTGCAAAAGCATCAGAACCAGCTCTGGACATGGTTTCTGAGAAAGAATTCATATAATCCTGCTCTCAAGGCCAGGCTGGGCCATGCAAAGGGGCAGGGCAAAGGCCCTGCTTGTTCAGAGTCAGAGTCCAGACTGGTCAAACTCCTCTGCTTGGCTGCAGCTGTCAATTCAGAAAAGTGCCAGGAGGCTGATTGATTTGATTGATTGATTTTTTATTTTATTTTATATTTTTTTTTTTACAGAGCAGGACCTTCTTGACAGGCCTGTACTTCTGTTTCCACTAACTAAAGCCTGGCTCACCTGGTGAGGTCCCAGATGTTCCTCTATGGCTCCTGCAGGACTAACAGGCCACATATGGGCAGCATCTTGCTTCATTCATTCACTGTTTGCAGACAGACAGCTCTGAGCAGCTCCCCAGCCTAAGCTACTGACAACTCACTGTTCATACAGGTCTGCAGAGTTGCTTGGAGCAAAGATCCTGCCTGCCCTGCCCTCTCCCCTGTTCATCCCTGCATAGATAGACACAAGATCTCTCAGGAAAGGTGAGACTTCAAGGCTCATTAGGTCAAGATTTGCAGGAAATGTCCTAGGAGGATGCTTAGACTGTGAACATCCCCCCTGGCACCTTCTGTTTGCTTAGCAAATAGTATTTCATGTATTTGTTTGCAAGTGGATGTTTCTTGGTTTGCTGAGTCTTCCAGCTAATTTTATTCTCCAGATTCCATTCTCTTTCTGTCCCCTCCAGCTCAGTTGGCTCTTTAATCACTGCTGGTGAATTTTTTGCTTTTAACAGTGGAGGAAAACACCCACCACAATCAGTAGCTTCAAAGGGCATTATCTGGCCTTCTGTATTCACATGGACTGGTTGGTTTACACCGGCTTCACCTGGTTTTTAATCTAGTGCTTTTGTTCTTTAGAGAGGATAGTGGAGGAAAGAGGAAGCTGTCCAAATCAAAGTCTACCTTGACTTTATCTCAGCCTATAACAGAGGCTGCAACACAAGGCAGTCAACCTCCCTCTGGGAAACAGGCCCCGAGCTTGCTCAGAGCACAGGCATCTACCAGAGGGTCTCCAGGGGCTGGGGCAACGGGCCCCGAAGCACGTGACTCGCTAGCCTGCACTTACCCACATTTGCAGGGATGTGGCTTATGCTGCTCCGGATGGTGGTGGTACCAGACCTTGCCTCCTGTTGCACACTGGTGTTGAGAGTGGCTTCTCCAAATTCCTGGCCATTAATCACCCCAATCATGCTGCCCCGGCTCCCTCGAGGTTCCCCTGTGAGGAAGGAAGAGAAAAACAACAATACTTTACGCGCACTCTCCTCCTATGTGATTTATTACCTCTGAAAACCTGCTAGTGGGTCAGTTATGGGTTGGTTCTGACCATCCACCTCATACCTTTAGCACAAGCAGGTATTGTTATCTTTTTCATTTTACAAAGCTGTGAACTGTGGCTTAGTGAGGTGAAATAGCTTGCCCAAGGGCTTATGGCTGATGGACTCAAAGCCCTGTAGACCCTGCTCTGGGACAGATGAGAGGCTGTTGGGACGAGTCCTAGGCTGGAGGTGAGGACATTAACTTCTCATTCTGCTCTGCCATCATTTTCCTTGAAACCTGGGCAAGTCAGGCCCCAAGCATCCATGAATGCTCATTTGTAAAATGAAAAGCTGAGACTACTGGTAGGCCAAGGACCTGTTGGGCTCTGAAACACCAGGAGCCCATGATGGCAGCAGCAGGCACACCAGAGGAGCCAAGGGTGAGTGGTAGGGCACCAGGCCAGGGCCCGAATGCCTCCACCTGAACTTCCTCCGTGCCATCAGAGGCCCTGGCTCCAGCCGCCCGCAGCTGGCCTGGGTGAGTGGGTTGCTTATCCAGCAGCCGCCAGACAGTCGGCGAGCAGACATCCTTCCATGCTAATCAGATGGGCACAAGGGGGGCGCTTCCTCTGCCTAATGGACCAACTGCCTCATTTGAGCAGATGGCATTCCAGGGAGCCAGAGACAGAAGTCAGCCTGCCTCTGTGCTCACTACCTCTTAAGGGAAATTAAGAGCAAATTGCCCATGATCTGTCGAAAAAATAACATAAAACATCAACTGCCAGGATCCCAGATGGGTAAATCGAGGGGGGGTTAATTTTGAGTTCCAGGAAGCAATACATTTCCAGCAGTCCAAAGCTGGGGTCTGATGAGATCTGACGCACATCTGGAATGTCTCTGGTCAATATCAGCTTCGTGGGGTTTGTGAGAGAGAGGAGGTGGCAGCCTGTGAACCTGCCCTTGGATTCGTGTATCTTTATGTGTGTGAGAGAGATATTTAAAATTTTGTTGATGTTGAGAAGATATATAGCAAAACATATACTAATTTAAAGGTTTAAACATATGCAATTCAGTGACACTGAAGGCATTCAAATTCTAAAATTCTCACCCTCCTTCTGAGTTGTTCCTCTCCTATAACCATGAACCCACTGTTCTGAGTTTTCCCATCTAATCTTTCAAGTTGCTGTTTCCATTGATTCTACAGTCTCAAAAATCAGCTGGAAGGTCAGCTGTGAGTCAGTTCTGACTCATCCATTCTGAGCAAGACAGATCTTGATAAAGCACAATGCTCAAGGCCTCTGCCTTGAGGCCTTTAGCTTCTACATCTTCTTAAAAGTCTGGAGTCCGTGAGAATTTGTAATTCTGTTGTGCATTTTCCCCCTTATGATCAGGATTCTGCTACAGAATCTTTGAACAATATTCAGTAATCTATCCGTGGACTTTCAACAAGGAGATGAAAAGGGAGGTGGAGGAAACACAGAAAAGAAGGCAGTAGCACAACCCAGGCAACACTGCACGGGGCCAGAGAATTGGAGCCCAGGAAGGGCAACCTGTTGCTGAATTTCTCAGACAAGGATGGTTTAGCAGCCTCTTCTTGCCTCTCACACAGTCAGAGACAGGCCCTTCCCCTGAAGACTGATGGGGAAGAAGAGAAGAAGCAGGCAGGGAGAAAAGCCACGTTTACAGTTAATAAAAAAACAGTTGCCATCAAGGTGACTCCCATTCAGGGTGACTCCCTGTGTGTCAGACGAGGACTGGGCGCCACAGGAGTTTCAATGCTGTGCTTTCAGAAGTAGACCAGCGGAATCTTCTTCCAAGGTGCCTCTGAGTAGACTAGCTAGAACCTCCAAACTTTCTGGTCAGCAGCAGAACATGCTAATCATCTGCACTACCCAGCGATATAGTTTACAGTTTTATGCACCATAGAGTTGCTCACAACTCATAGGGACCTTATGTACAATAGCTCTGAACCCTCATCTTCCTGAGCCAGTCTCACTGACTCTGACACACCTATTCCCATTGCCCCAGTTAATGAGTCCATTCATCTCATCCAGGGTCTTCCTCTCCTGTGCTGTCCCTCCACTCTTCCAAGCATGATGTCTGTCTCCAAGGACTAGTCCCTCCTGGCTATGTGCCCAAGGTATGTGAGATGGAGCTTCAAAATCCTAGCCTCCAAGGAGAAACTTGGTTTTACCCTCTCCAAGACAGACCTATTTGTTTTCCTGGTAGTCCACAGTATGTTAAAGACTCTTCTCCAGCACCACAACTCAAAGGCCTTGATTCTTCCCATGTTAACCTTAATCACTGTCCAGTTCTCTGATGCATAGTAAGTAATTATGAAGACCATGGCCTGTATCAGGTGAACCTTTGTCTCTAGACTGATATCATTGCTCTTTAGTACTTTGGAGAGATCCCTGATAGTAGACTTTCCCAATGCAATTTGTCTTTTGATTTCCTGACTGCTGGTGCCAAGAATGTTGACTGTGGAACCAAGCAAGCTGAAATAGTTAACGACCTCAGTCTCTTCTCCATCTATTATGGTGTTGCCAATTGGCCCGATGATGAGAATCTTGGTCTTCTTGACGTTGAGCTTCAATCCATATTGAAGACTATAGTCCTTGACTTGCAGCAAGCACTTCAGGCTCACCTCAGTTTCAGCAAGTAAAAGTGTGTCATCCATATAATGCAGGTTGTTGAGGAGTCTTCCTCCAATCCTGATGCCACACTCCTCCTCATAAAGTCCAGCTTTTGAATGATCTGTTCCATGTATAGCTTTAAGAGGTATGGAGACAGGTTGCATCCCTGACACATTCTTTTTTTCTGATTTTGAACTGTTTTGAGGACTGCTTCCTGGTCTAAGTATAGGTTTCCTGTGTTGTTGTTGTTTGTTGTTATGTGCCGTTGAGTCGCCTGCGACTCATAGCGACCCTATGTACAACAGCCTTAAACTCCGCTCTGTCCTGTGCCAATCGCACCGTCTCTGACACTCCCATCCCAATTATCCCAGTCACTGAATCAATCCACCTCATAGAGGGCCTTC